ACCGTGTCCGCATCGTGCAGCAGCCATGCCGCTCATTTGGGAAGAGACTGTTAACAACAGCCCTTTGCTCCAAGTTCAGGGGTGAGGACTAATTGCTTTAACCCTGCCAGTAATCCTTGTTGCCCTCGCCACAGTATTTGGCCAAGTAGTCTGAGCAGTAAAGCCATGGCACGGCCCTGATCAAAAACCACCACATAAGCCCATTTAGGGTTGTAAATACTGGAGGTTTATAGGACAGAAGGGCCCCCATTCTTCTAGGAGGGCCACAGGATGTCAGTTTCTGCACAGTGTCATGTGAAGATGTGAAACCCAAAAATTAGAACCATGTAGTCACCAGGAATAGGGAGAAGAAACAGGGCCTTCACATTTTTTAGTCATGAATCAAACCAACCCAGCACTACCTTTGGACTTTCAGTCAAAAAAGAATCACATTTTCTGAGTTGGTATTTGTGTTACCAGGGAAAAAAAAGAGAGAGGGAGAGAGAGAGTTCTAAATGGTGCAGACCTTGAACAAACTTAAAAGACAAACTGGGGAAATATTTACAATGATGAAGACAAATAATTAAAACCTCTAATACACAAAAAAACTACAAATAAATATGAAAAAGAAAACAACTTATTTTTTTTTAAAGGAAGAATATGTGAGTAGCCACTTCCTATAAGAGAAAATACAAATGACCAACAAACAATACAAATAGATGTTTAGGTTCACTTTAAAATAAATGGAAATAAAACAAAGGGACATCATTTTCTTACTTCTTAAGTTTGTCAAATATGAGAAATATTGATATTACTTAGGGCTGAGGATATACAGAGAAACAAACTCATGTACTGTCCGAGAGGGTATAAATTAGTGATTCTCAAAAAAGCAATACATAATACTTCTATTAATATTCATAATACTTATAGCCTTTAACCAATCAATTTCACTCCTGAAATGTTATGCTCTAGAAATACCTAGATAAGAAGGCAAAGATGTATATAAATGTCTCTCAATATTGTTTATAATTTTGAAATACTGAATATGTCTCAAATATTCATCAGTTCAGAATTAGTTAAATAAACCCAAGGTACATGTATGCAGTGAAAAGAATACTTGTGGGCTTCATAATGGACAAAGAAATCCTATATATTGCCATTGAAATATGTTTAAGACACATCTAGTGAGAAGAAAACCTGTAATTGTTTATGTGAAAAAAAGTCAGCATCTACATATTAAAATGATCTGAAAAAACATTATCATACTGTTATCAGTGATTAGATGTGGGAAATGGGATTGGAGCTTAGTGGGGAACCCCCCAATTCTGTCAGATACTCACATACACAGACACAGACACAGGTGACCACATTCCCCACCACCATCTGGCCCACATCCTGCCCATCAGGAGTTAAACTGCTGCTTTGGTTTCTCACCTGACTCAGTCTCTTTTCAACCTGTTCCCCGCTCCACGGCACACCAAGAGTCGGGTGGTACACGTTTGAAGAGAATTTTAAAACCATAATAAAACAGGCTTAGAGTTGGTTTGCTTTATATTATCACCATATTCTTTCTAAACATGTAAATGTCAAAGGGTCTGTAAGAGGACCCGCAGGGAGGGTCCTCTCACAACCCCTTCCCTTGGTAGCGACCGTCCCTACTGCAATTATGATTCATCTGGGCCTAAGTGCCCATGTGCCGTTTGCTGGGCAAGGAGCTCCAGGGTATTCGGACAGGCAAGCGATACCACCCCCGCCTCCGAAGAGCTCATTCTGGAGCAGAAGTGTTCAACAAGTCCACAGGTGCTAGAAACCGTCAAGTTTCTCCGGGGTTCAGCGGCCTGCCGGCCCACCCCGCCTCCCCAGAGCTGCTGTTCACCAGCTGCCCTGGGTGGGCTCCCTCAGCACCCCTATCCTCACCTCTCTCGGACCCCCTACCTCGATGGCCTAATGCCGCCCTGCACCCGAGGCCCTACTGTTTTTCCTCACCCTGGGCACGGGGTTGGCGGGAGACTCTTTGACTTTCTGATCTTTCTCCGATGCCCGGGTCACCACTTTGCCTCTTTTGATCTCTAGTGCCCGAGTCACCACTTAACCCTCCACTTGGCTCCTGAGAGCGTTACCCGAAAACTCCTTTCCTAGAATCTTCCCTAAAACCTTGGAAATGTACCTGGGGAAAAACTGAAATGGTGGCTCAGAACGGGCTGTCCACAAGCCTTTAGCCGGGCTGTCGGAGGCCCCTCTCCCTGGGCCCACAGAAGTGGTTTCCCCAGCAGGCTTCTCTGGAGAAGGGGTTCGCTGGGGAGGGGGTGGGGAGGGCCAAGGCCTTAATCCATCAGCTTTAAAAATAAGCACTTCATGGAATAGAAAGAAAAGCCATCCACCCAGCTGAACCTGAGCCTTGTAACAGAGAGGGGAGTGTGTGAGGAGAACAAGAGGGAGATCCCATTAATTACCCTTAGAAGCAAAGGTAAAAGTTGAAGATTACGAGACCTATTTACAGGAGGAAATAGACCCATCATTGAGCCTAGAGAATGGAAGGATTGTTTAGGGCCAGAAAAGCGTCTCAATGTTCAGATTCCATTCTTTTTCTGGAGCTTTGGAGAGGAAGGTCATAGCTTGGGTTTGGATGGTACACTTAGCAGTGGGCTCAGACTGAGAGGGGCTGTTGTCTTTGGGTCCAGTGCTGGGCCCACATCCTGTCCCCACCCTGAGGGAACAGATCTGCAACCCTCTCTGGGAGCTGACGTGGGCTGGCCAGGGAAGGGTGCCCCTGTGAGAGAGGCCCCTCCATTACCATCACAACGGCTGATGTCACAGACCCCACGGAGCAGCGGAGGCCCCAAATGCAGGGTAACCCTAACCCCACCGGTGATTGAAACAGATAGAGGGGTAGCTCTCCCACACAATGCCCAGGCCCCCACTTCTCTCCTCCTCCTCCTCCCACTTCCTCAAGAGTCTTTGTCTTCTGGTCCCTTGGGCCTGGAGCCTCTCTCATTCCTGGCAACCACTGCCCATTAAATTCAAAACTTTGGAAAAAGGGTCTGGCGCTTTCTTTCCCTCCCTCCTCTTATCTGCCATTAGCTATTCCCCACCCTCATCTGTGTGGGGAGCGGATAAGCCCAGCTATGAGAAAAGGGGCTCGCTGGTGGGTGACTGCCTCACACCTGTCCCTGACTGGGTTTTTTTTCCCCCACCTCAGAGCACCCTCAAGGCTGCTGGCCCCTCTCTGGACAAGGCCTTGGGGGAGACGTTGCACCAGGCAGTGCTCGGAAGCTTTGGGAAATGTTTTGGGGCGAGTCCGGTTTCAGTTTGGCTTTGACAACCCGAGCCTCTGTACCGGACCCTCTTGTTTGCTATCCCCCCCACCAGCTGGAAATGTCTATGTTGTCAGAAGTGTGGGGCCCTCCTGCCCCACTCACCGCCCTAACCTGGTTTGGGGAGAGAGAGCTAGGAATGGTGGCTGCACTGGTCTTTTGGTATGAGCTGGGGTTCACATGAGGGCTCCTGGAAAATGTGGGTGGCAGAGCTCCAGGTCTTGAAAAATCTCCTGTCACAACTATAGGAGGCAGGGAGAGGAGGTGACTGCTCAAAGCTTCTGGCGCTCTCACTGGGATCTACATTTCCAAAGAGATTTGGTTGTTACTCAGTATTTTAATCATGAATCTTCCATAGACATTGATGAAAGCCATGCCCTTTCTCTCCAGAAAAATGGGTGGATGTAAGCCTGTGCGTGCGTGCACACACACTCACACATACGCACACATTCTAAGGGTTCAGGGGCCCCGGGTTAGGAACTCTTGAATTCTTAAAGGAAGTATATGTTTTGGCACAAAAATGAGACCAGACAGGGTTCCCAGTGGTGTTGAGGAGCAGATTCTACCCGAAGGACTGGCTGTGCTCTGGGTCAGGCAGTTGGCGGGCTCATCTGAAGGGCTGGGACCTGGTTCCCGTGCAGGAGCCCGGGCGGCCTCACTGCTATTAACCTTGGGCTGAGGGAGGGAAAGCCGGGAGGCAGAGAAGCTCTGGACACTTCTGTCCAATGCCCAGCCATAAGGTACGTCACAGAGTTGGAGGTGAGGGAGGGAAAGGCCTTAAATACACGCGCTATGGCCAGGTACTGGCTCATTTACACGCCACAACCACCACCCTGTAAATTAGGAACTACTATTCTGTTTTCACTGAAGAAGATGATGAGATTTAGGGAGTTGCTGCTGAAGGTCATCCGGCCGCTAAGTGGCACAGGAGAGACTGAAGCCCAGGCCTCTCAGGCACCAAGGCCCAGGCACAACAGGCAGACTTCTTTCCATCCTATCCCCACGGCTTCCGTGCCAGCCTAGGGGACAAGCAGGCTGGGTGCCGCCACGCCACCTCTGGCCTTACTCACCGTGGCTCAGGTGTGCCTGCCAGCGCCTTCACTCTCCTCCCAGCACACACCTGACTCAGGCCGGCTTTCACTCCAATGCGGTCTGCACCTAAAATGCTCCCAGAGCTCGACAAAGCTCGAATCTCGTTCCTTTCAGGCCCAGCTAACTAACATCCTGCTTCCTCTGTGCTGTCTTTCCTGAGCAGACCAGTTGTGGTATCAGGCCATGACGGCTGTCCCTCTCCCCACTGAGTTCTGGCATAGGCTCTCCCTCCGCCCCCAGCCTGGCTTTGTTCAGGAGAATTCTACATCACTCTGTCTTGACTGGCTACCTTTCCACAGCAGGGCTGGTATTCAAAACACACTGGGCTCCAAGTTGCTTAGCCCAGTACTCCGCATAAATCAGGAATCTCCAAGGTCACTCTTCTTGATGATGACGCCAGTGTTAACTGTATGGACAGGAGGAAACTGAAGCCCATAGTTTGGGACGTGTCCAAGGGCTGCTTGCCTCCTCCGCAAGGCAGGCTTTCTCCTCCCCACCAGGCTTTGCCTGCTCTAGTCCTCAGGGCAACGTCCGCCACCCAACCACGGCCACACTGCGCCAAAGGGCGGGAGAACAAAAAACCACGAGACAACATTGCGGCCTTTGAAACAGGTATATAGGCTTTCTTGTTTAATAGCAGTTAAAAGAGGAGAATGTACAGGAGGAAAAACATGCTCTTTCCACATAGGAAGTTTTCCAATAACCATGAGGCCTGTCTGTATCAGTAGCTTTACTAGTGAGTTTTATAAAAGTTCCCTTTAGAGCTAAAAATGGACTCTCCTAAATTTCCTCAGTAAATGTGCAACTATTTGTGCAAAATAAAAAGGCTGTTTCCAACACATTAGTGAAAAGTAATTGTAATTCAGGCAAAGAAATAAAAAGAAGAAGAAAAATAAAAGAGGCCACAGAAGCAGCCGGGAGCAGAGTCCCGGGAGAGGGAGGCTAAGGCGGGGGTTTCTGCAGCTGCCCTGGGCCCGTGTGCTCAGGGGCCTTATGAGGAAGGTCGCGGCCAACGCCGGCCTTGGAGGGAAAAGGGCTTCAGGTCTGGGACTGGCCGGGTAGGCACAGGTCTGCAGGGAAGCGGGGCTGGCCGTTGAGGCCTGGGGGGCTATCAGGCCAGGCGGGCAACGGAAACCTGGGGAGCTTCGCATCCCCTCTCTGGGAGCTTTAATCCCCTTTGCCAACAGGGATTCTGCTGGTTCCGATATCCAGGTCCCCGGTTCCTCCACCCACCAACAGCTTCATTTACAATCTGCTCAGAGAGGTTTTCCTGTGACTGTTACAGCTCCGCAAGCTCCCTGTTATTCCTGAAACCCAACGCCAAAAGACAGGGTCCCAAGCCAGACTGTCCTTTCAGGGACAGGAACCTAGTTTCCCCGAGAACTTGGTCAGGGGTCTGCGGCAACTAGAAGGCAGGTAGGCCTCCCGTCCCCATGTCCTCGCCCCCTTCCTGCGGCCTCCAGGCTCCTCTGCATCCCTGGGCACCTGGGGCCAGGCCTCAGGCGCCTGAGGGGCTTAGGCGCCTGAGGGGCTTGGGCGCCCACGCTCCGCCCAGCTCCGAGGGCTGGCCCAGCTAGAGGCCTATAGACAAAACTGAGAAGTCCCACTTTACCCTCCCAACAACTGGGACATTGCTGGTCCTGTTTTGTTACCTTCCCCAGCCCACCAAGAGTGTGTCTCCACAGGCAGCCCAGTGGCAGGGGGTTGGCAGCTGTTAGGGCAGACTGAAGGCAGGCTGAGGGGCAGCCGGGGGCTGCTGCAGGGTCCGCCCTTGGGAGTCTTGAGCTGAGCAGGCTTTTCCCTAGAGGGGCTTCTGTGAGCAAGGAGCAGGGCCACCCTCCTCTGCCGGCCCTGTGCACCTAGTCCTCCCTAGCATGGTTTTTCCGGGGCACAGGTTTGAGACCAGACCAGCAATGCTTACAAAAAGACAAAAACTGTGACACATGTAAGAGTCACCCCATTCTCACTTCAGTGTCTCAGTGCTCCAGTTGAAGGGATCTTGCTGCAAACTGGGGATTAGTGGAGGAGGGTGTTTTGGGCCCTTTTTAAGCAACAGGACTTCAGGTTAGTGTAATCCTTTCTCACTTTTCCAATAAAACCCAAGGCTTGGGAGAGGGCATCTTGGGTTTCCCTCCCATGGGTCCCTGCCTTTCCCTGGCTTTGAGGTTCTTGGTGGCAGCACCCAACCCAACCATCATCCTAAGACCCGGGCCACACTGCCCACTGCCGTGCCCTCAGGCTGGGCCTCAGAGGGCATTTGCAAGCTCTAGTGCAGCCGGAGTGTGTCCCCATCCCCGGACCCTCACCTCGCGGTTTTCCAGCTGTGAGTTAGGGAGGGGCCAGGGGAGGGAAGGCCTGCGGAAGCACTGCCTTCCCCAGGAGCAACTGGTGGCTGACAAAGGCAGCTAGGAATTCTGTTTGATGAGTGTCTCCTCCCACTAATCCAAGCTGGAAATACCTGTGTGGCTTATTTGTAATCGTTTGGTGATGCCTAATTATACTCTTGCCAGTTGCCCTAATAGCATCTTCCTGCAGTGTCTTAAAGTGCAGGTTCCTCTGACCTCCTAGCAAAGCCCCTGCGTTAAGTCTCAGGGCGCATCTGGGATAGTGGACACCGTCTCTGGGCCAGCTGTCCAGGCTCCCTAGGGAACTCCAGATTTTGGGAGATAGGATTACAGGCAATCTTTCTCACGTAAGGCCAAAGGGTGTCCATGGGGATCCTCAGAAGAGGATGGAAGCATTGTGCCTGAGCAAGAGCGTCATATTCTCCACGATATGACTCAGTGAGGGGCAGCTGGGCCAGAGGCGACAAACCCCTAGCTGTGGTTGGCCCAGCCCACTCCATGGTGACAGTGGCTCCATCACCTGAGGCATCCAGTCCAGCTGTGGCTGCCCCCACAGTGCAGAGCTGGTGACATTGCCTTTGAAGACACTGGCCAGAAAGCTGATTTTTAAAACACAAAGGAACAATGTCAAGCAGTCTTCAGGTTTTCCCTAAGGGTAACATAAGAGCCACTTGCGGGCTTCCGGAATCCGACCTACCCCAGTGACGCCACGCAGGAGGCCCAGCCTGAGGCGCTCTGTGAGGATCTATGGAAATAACTGGTGACCTAGGCCCTGAACCACGTGTCCCGACCCTGAAAGGAGGGGATGAGATGAATGGGGAAGGGACCGAGGCTCCGATTCCGTTCACACTGGCTTCCTGTGTGGGGGTGACGTGTAGTTAGTCATGGGGCCTGCTTATTACCCCTGCACTCTCAGCTCTGTCCTGCCACAGAAAAATGAGCAGGAAAGCACTGGGTCAGATCTAGGCTAAAGAAGCTGCCCTCCTCGGGGGAATGGAGTTGTCACATGCTGTGCAGGTTCACCAGCTGATGACAGCCACTGGGCTGAGGCGAACCTCCAGAAGTGTGTGCTGGTCTGTGGTATATACTAAACAGTAATGTTTTCCAGACCCCTTCCTTGCGTTGGAAAGACTCGGCCTCACCGAGGTGGTGAATGGGGCACCCAGGAGGGAGTGGGGTATCATCCTTCCGCCTGCTCATCTTACCCCAGTGCCAAGTGCCCGTTTGTCTGTGTGGTTCCCAGGCCCCAGACCTAAGCTCTGCAGGTGAAAGGTGGTCCCTCACACCGGGAGAGATGGCACCACCATCTCTAGGATAATATAGATAGCGTAGTGATAGCTTCCCCTGAGTCCCAGCCTAGCAACAGTTCATATGCTTCCTTACTCTTGTGCCTCTATTACTATAGGGAAAGGTTATGCGAATACTGTACATAGGTTATTAAAAAAATACATTTTCTCTCTCCGAAGAAGAATGCACAGATGCAGCGCCAGCCAGGGCCGGGTCCCGGGCCGCGGGGCTGCCGTGAGCAGCCTCTGTGGGCTCGAGGCCAGCCCTCAGGAGTGGTGGGTGCTGATGAGTCCACGCAGCTGCTTGGCCACAGTGTCAATCAATTTCTGCTTGTCTCGCTCATTTTTACGAAACTGTGCAAACATGTTGTTCTTGCGGCTAGTGTCCTTCATCCTAAACAGGGAAGGAAAGAAAGAGAGCAAGTGTTTGAGGAGACAATGGTGGAAGGGAAATTGGCAGGAGGCAGGATGGCATGGTGTACCTAAGCTGCCACCCAGAGTTGATAGTCTGAAATGTTTCTATTGTCAGGCTTATACTTTTCTACTATTCAGAGAGCTGTCCTGCTGGCACCCACAGTCCTTCCAAATTCAGCCACCTTTGCAAATAGTCAAGAGCCAGCTATGGAGGGGCTAACCTCCTGACGGTCTATACCCCCCTACCCACTTCATTCCCTTTTATCTCCGGGTATGCACCTGTTATAGGTAGGTGCCTGGCACTCGCAGTAGCAGTGACGGTCAAAGGCGCTTGCAGAATATCCCCCATCTACTTATCAACTCATAATCCTACTTAACCCTGCGGGGACCTTAAAGCTGGTATTTGAAAGGTAAAGCAGAAAAATGCTCTTAACTAGCAATTCCAAGAGGTCATAAATAACAAAGCTACTGTGTAATTCTAAACCTCACTATAGAGGGTGGTACTCTATTCCATCCCTAATAAAATTGAGGGCTTGAGTGCCTTCTTTCTCTTGTCTTAGAGTAAGGACCTGGAGGTGCTCAGACAAGCTGATGACAAAAGGCTGGACCATTCTCTCACTCCATAAGCCAGAGCTTCTGGCAAGTGAAGCCCCTGAGTTCTCGATAGCTGTTTATATCCTCAGGCCTTTGACCTTTGAAGAACTTTCTATTACTAGGCCACATTAAAGCCCCAGAGCACATTCCTAGTATATTCCTAGAGCACCAATCACAGGCAGCCTGGCCAATGGTTCCGTCAGATGGAGAGACAGAACTGGGAAGCATGGATAAGGAAAGCCAAGGCTGGGCTGAGGCTGTCCCAGAATCCCCCGAGTCTGACTAAGCCGTGGCACTGGAATCCAGGAAATCTGCTGGGCACTGCAGCGGGCCCACTCATGACCCCTGACATCCACTGGTAACTGCTACCTCTGGCCCCAGCCTCTGCACCACAGCCCTCCTGCCCCCAGCGAGTCCTAGTGTTAGAGAGCTGCGGACGCAGCCCAGACCAGTTTCTCCCTGGGGTCGGGGTCGGCTGGTTCTCACCACCCTCTGCTCTCTGACCTCACGGCTCCCTGGGCAGCAAGGAGACAGGCTAGGAGAGGGGAGGGAGGAAACCTGGCACCCGGAGCACGCTCCCCCGGGCACACTCCCTGGGGCCTTTGGCCACTCCTGGCCCACTGTTTCCTGTGAGGTGGCCCTGTGCAGAGGAGCAAATTAGAGGCCAGGAGGTCAGAAGGCCAGAGGTCCCCCTGGGCATTTATCTCCCTGAGGTAAGGGGTTCTGATGAGCACCCCTGCTGTGCGGCTCTGGCTGAAGTCTGTCTCTGATCTCAGCTTAAGGGCCTTCAGGCTGGAATTACTCCTCAAGCAAACTGAGACCACCACACGTAAGGTCCAACCCCTTGCATGAGGAGGCCTGTGCTTGAAGGGGAGGAAGGAGAGGTAACGGGTTTAGAGGGTCCAGTGGGAAAGAAAGCACGAGCGCCCTCAAGGCTGGGGTGACTACTGCGCTTGGCCCTTCCCACGTTCTCGTCACAATTAAATACAAACGTAATTTTGTACGTAATTGGGACTGGCCTGCTTTGAGCTTACTTATCCCAGGGAAGGAGGCCTTTCCATTTCTTAATTATGCTATAAATCTAAACAAAAACAACACAAAACAAAAAGAAAGAAGAAAGGAAGAAAAACACTTCCTACATTTATAGAACATTTCACTTAACATCATTACTTTTATGACTCATCCAATCAGCCCAAAGACAAGCCGCGGGCGCTGGCTTTCTGCTCCAGTCGGGGAGCTCTTCCAATAAGGCAGCAGAAAGGGGGAGCCTGAGCCTCAGGGTAAGGATTCTTGGCCAGTAATGCCCGGGGCTGGGATTACCTGACAGATAAACTCGAGTGCCCTGAGGGCCCATGGAAGCGTGCTGGCATGTGCCCTGGAGTGCTCCAAACCCCAGGAGAACCCTCCCCACCCCCTGCCTATTCTGTCGGACCAGGCTCCTGATCTGCTTTTGCTATGGCCATCTCTCAGTGACACAGGAGCATCTTCTTCCTGAGCGTCCTCATCAGGTCTTTGGGTCTTGCAGGTCTCACCCTGTTAAGAAGTGCCAGGACAGGAAGGAGGGTGTCAAGCTCTGATGGCAGAGATGGCTGCGGGGAGGCAGCAGCAGGTCAGGGACAGATTCCTATGAGGCTGGGAAACACGGAGTTCAGGGCGGCCTTTGGCTCAGCTGTGTTTGAAAGGTGGCTTTGAAACCCTGCTGACTGCTGGGGCTGAGCGCACGGCTCTGTTCCTAGCTGGGCCCCAGATTGCTTCAGAGAGGCTGATTATTTTACCCTGTTGTTGATCCACAGCAAGTGGACGAGCCAGTACTTCTTGGTAGCTTGCTGAAAGAGTCTTCCGTGGGAGACACAGTTCCAGACCTTAAAGCCACGGGCCTCCCACGGGAGGAGGGAGGCCCGCTGGGGAGTTCCCTCCCGTCAGGGCTGGATTTCAGGCCCTGCTCTGCTGAGAGGGTTGTGGGTGTCGGGGAGCTGAGTAGGAACAACCCTCCACCTGGCACTGGTGACGGACAATCCCTGCCACTACTCCCAGCCCCAAAGGAATTGGTAAGCCAAGGGTCACTCTAAGGACCAAGGAGTGGAGGCAGCCAGCCGGTTGGCACCAGGCTGGTTTAGTAGATTAGTACGTCAGGGTGGGGACAACTCGCAGGGTAGGGATTTTAGTGTAATCATTAGTGTCAATGAGGAAACCAGAAGGACTTGCCTCAAAGTGATGGAAAAGGCCCAAGCGAATAATATACTTACTCTCTAGATATCCTAGGGAGGAAGGTCATTGAAAGAGAGAACCATGGGAAACAAAGTTAAAATGGAAACATCAGTCTCTGTCTTGGTCTGGACAAAGTTGCCCTCTGAGTTCTCAATTTCCTGGCTCCAACACCTACCTCTGCATTCTGCTCTTGCCCACGCTCCGTCGCCTCCCTTACTGTGTCCCTATCGTACTGCACAGTAGGAAGGATACCCCTTCGCACCCCTGCTTAAGGCCCCACTCTGACCTCCCAGACTCTAATTCTCACTTTCCTAGGATTCGAGACCTGCCTGACTGGCCATACACGGAGACTTGCTACATTGCCTAGGTGTGGGATATTCCTCTAAAAAACTGGGGGTGGGGAGAGGTTAACTAGTTTGAAGACAAGAAAAAGCTTCCCTTTTACATGGGTCTTGAACTCTGACCTGCCAGCTCTCAACTAGGTTAGCAACGGTCAGAGCCAGCCTGCAGTGCACGGCCGATCCCAGCCTCTTGGGACCATGAGCCGTGAGATGTTCTGGGGCCAGCGAACCCAATCTCAGTGGTAGCAACCTCTGCTGCCTAGTGACAACCTCAGGCAAGAATCAGATATCTTTTCCAATGTAGCTTTCTTGGTACAGTCAGCACAATAAGCTCAATTTGTCAGGGGGGTGGGGGGGGGTGGGTTCTGGTGCAGGTTTCAGTAAGTCCAGGAACATCACTGCTAGGAACTGAAGAGGCCGTCTGCTCTGTGGGGCTGTTACATCCATCTTCATACGCAGAGGGCAGGGGGCAGCCTCACGCTATTTACCAAACTAAGGCATCTTTCTTTCATCTCTTGCCATTCTAGTTCAAGATAGGCTGCCCCATTAAGCTCTAATGTAATGCCGGAGTCCAGCTGATGCCTACTTGGCCTAGCTTGCGGGTTTCATGCATTAAGAGGAGACAGGAAGACTGACCCGCAAAATCTAACAGTGGAGACTACTGATAGCACCTATGGCAATTTCAAGAACAGAGCCTCTCTACAGTCTTTTTCAGGTATTGGCAAAGGTAAAATTATCCCCCACACCCCCACTCCACACCCCAACCCCCACTTCCCACTTCCCACCCCAGGCCGCAGACTGGGCACTCACTTCTCCAGCAGGGTCAGAGCTGTCACGGGGTTTACTCGGAGGTACTTGCAGTTGGGCTGGCCATAGTCCGCAAGGTAGGTTGACCAGTCCCACTGGATGAAGAGGTCCAAAAGCTGCAAAACACCCAAATCCCCACCCCAGGGATTAATCAGACAGACAAGACAAACCCCTCAGAGACCCTCCGCATCCTTTGCTACCAGCTAATGGCAGATTTGGAAAATAAATAAAAATGTAGTAAGAGAAAGAATGGTTACAAACTATAATGCAACTAAGAAAATAAATGAGCAACCCTCAGCGGTCAGAGTCACCTCTGCCACAAGCTCTGTAATGGAGCCAAAACGACCTGCCAGCAGTTCCCAGGGACAGGCCTGCAGAGAGCCCCACACGGGACTGAGTCAAAACACAGGGCTGTCGCAGTGCTCACTCATTCATGCCGTAAATACTTATCAAATGCCTCCCATGTGTCGAGCACCATTCTAGGAGCTCAGACTTCAACCGTGAACAAACAGAGGTGGGTGTAGTCTAGGGCCACAAAGGCAGTCGCATGAGCTGGGAGGTTAAAAGGTCTGGGTTCAAGGGCCAGCTTCATGACTTGCTGCACTGACTTTGACCAAGTTACTCAGCTGATACACACACATCCACCTGCCTGTAAACAAACAGGACACATGGACAACACGGAGATGCTGCATAAATGCGCCATGTAGCATCTATGTGAGGCAATACGTGTTACACCTGTGTGGGCACTGGCTGAGCAGATGGGAACCAGGGCCAGCGTGGCCGGGGCTGAGCAGCAGGCCGGGACTGAGGCTGCAGACCCTGGAGCTGGGTTCTGAGTGTCAGCGGGCAGTGCCGAGAGCTGGGTGTGTATTTGTACGATAACGAGAGCTTTCTGAGGGTAAGCTGAGTTCTGAGGTGGGGGAGATTTTGACTTACAAAAACTGAACAAATTTTGTCAAAGGCTTTCTGCCAGCCAGTTAGTTTTTGTTTGTTTTTTTAAACCCTCACCTGAGAACATACTGATTCTAGAAAGAGAAGGGTGGGGGGAGGGAGGGAGAGAGAGAGAGAGAAAGAGAATCACTGATATGAGAGAGAACATTATGACTGGTTGCCTCCTGTACGTGTCTGGACTGGGGATCGAACCTGCAACCTTTTGCTGTACCAGACAACGCTCCAAGCAACTGAGCCATCTGGCCAGGGCCCAGCCAGTTAGTTTTAACCTCAGATATCACTCTAATAAATATTTAAAAAATTCTGAGTCTAAAATCTAAAAAAAAAAAAAAAAAATTCAGTGCATTTCAAAAGCAGGAGTGATGAAAGGGAAGCTGGTAGCTCCCTCTGCGAGCTTCTGGAAGGGGCACAGAAGGGCCCCCTAAGCAGTCTCTAGCAATGAGATACTTATAAGTGTTTTTGGACTCCAGACATTCCCCTGCTTCTCTCTTTCTAAAAGACAGGGAGGTAAGTAAATCGCTGTCTCTGCGTGCAGGACGACGGCAGAGAGGCCTGGAGTGAATGCAGCGCCGGAGCCTGGGTTCGAGGGACACCTTCCTCCCATCGGTCTTCACTGTGTGGCCGGGCAACCTGGCAGTGTGGGTGGGCCTTGCTCTGCTTGGCCAAACCTCCTCTTCCATCCACCCTCTTAGAATAATTGTTATGAACTTCCCCAGGCAGGATGGGAACTGGCTGAAGTCCCACGCCTAAAACTGAGAAAAGCCCCTACACCTTCAGCCAAGAAAGGGGATGCTAAAGATGAAAAGAGAGAGGAGAGAGACAGGCAGACATGTCAGCTGGTCTGGGCCAGCACTGCCCCAAAGGGCCCTCTCAGGGCCTCTTTAGGCCCTGCCTATTTTAGTTGGCAGGTAAATGGGCTCTGACCACTTCCTTTTTCTGCCCTGGGGCCTCACAGACCTCTTCTTTAGAAGTGCTGTTTCCCTGCTTGCCTGTTCTACCCTTGGCATTTCTGTCCTACGGTGTCCAAAGTTGCTCAAGGAGCTTCTCTTTACTTGCTCCTAGGAAGTACAATCAACACTTGGCGCGTCCCTTGTTCTCAAGTTATTTCAGTTCTGTGCTTTACAAATACCACTATGCTTTTACCCCAAATCCCAGGGAAAAACTGTGAAAAAGGATAGCATTTTCTTAAATGAATAACAAATAAGTTTAATCAGAAAAAAATGTGAAAACCTGGTTTCTTAAAACTATTTTTGGTATTGATTTTTAGGTGTGGACATATTCATTCGTTAACTGAAACTACCTGCTCTATTAATGAATTCCTAATTTCTGTGATGGAATTAATGGTGCCAGTATTTTCTGATTTACTGCAAAGAGCACCATGTTTTCCTGGCTGAGGAAGCCTGTATAGATCATTGATGGGGTGTGGAGGGCAGTTCAAGACTTTACTCTAGGGTTTTCTATTTTTTATCTTTTGCCAAAATCCCCTAATTCTCTGGGATGACAAGCTACCTAATTTATCCCACCCTACGTTGAAGCTACACTCTGTGTAGGCTCAACCAGTAGGAGCCTACAGAGCGAGCACACTCTGGGCCTCCGTCCTCTCCACAGTCCTTGAGGGTGGCCCAGACTAGGTCTCATGGCCTCCTCTGAGAGAGACGGGCAAGGGCTGCAGGGTTAGCTGCCCGGTGGTGGTGGGGGGGCACAGCTCAGTTGCACAGCTCGGTTGCATTCCAAAGGACAGCGCTAGAATAAGAGGCCAAGAAAATCAGCAGGCCTCTTTAGCAGCACAGCGCTTTAATTTCCATGACTTTTGAAAGGTAAATCAGGCCCTTGCAGCCTGGTTCTCCCCTTACAATGGCCTTGGTAGGTCTCCACATAGTGTCTCCTAAGGATGCAGAGCATTCAGTCATCACTAACAATCACATTCTTTTTAACTTCAAAAAATTTTCATTTGGAAATGATTTTAAACTTATCAGAAAGTTGCAAGAATAAGCATAGTATAAAGAATACTATTAACCCAGCACCCAGATCAGTCCATTGTCAGCATTTTACCCACACGCTCCTTCATTTGTATTCTCTCTTTCTCTCTTTCCACACATGTGCACACATGATATTCCTTTTCTGAGTCTCTTGAGAGTAAATACAGATGTCATGGCCCTTTATCGTCAAATACTTCAGTGCTCCTAAGAATGAGAGATATTCTCTTACACAGAGTAGAGTTTTCAAGGCAGTAAATTTAATACTGATAACTGCCTACATTCTGATTTTATAAATTTACCCACATAGTCTTCTTTCTATTCCCCACCCTGCCCCCTTGCCCTTAGTTTTGGTTTTTCTAATGCACTTCTGGCCAGAACACTACGTAAGTGATGCTGTGTCCTCCTCAGGGTGTCGCATCTGGAGGAAGACAGTGTTCATCTCTCACTGGTGATACTGTCTTCGATCACCTCGTCAAGATGCTGTCTGATTTCTTCGCTGTCTAGGTGTTATGCTTTCCTTTGCAACTAGTAAGCAACTGAGGAGACAATTTAAGGCCATGCAAATATAGTGCTCCTAACTAAAATTTCCCCTTAGATTTAGCATCCATTGAGGATTCTTGTCCGAGTTGGTCTTTCCTATGACTACTGCAAACTAAGGGCATTCCAACTTCATCTTTCCTTCCACATTTATCAATTGTCACTCAGCATTCTACCGCAAGCAAGTGCTCTCCCTTCTCCTCCATTCATTTACCAACTTATTATTGGCATGGATTCATGGTTTTCCATTTTTTAAATGCCTTCTATTTATGACTGTACCTAATTATTTTGATCCCTAATTGTGTCATATTTGGCAAGTGGGAGCCCCTTCCACCTGGAGCCTATGTCCTTGTGACATGTCCCATCACTTTTGTGAGTACTTCCTGTTGTCTTGCATAAAAGGTGGTGCTGGCTCATCTGGCACCTACTGAGTCCCAGCTCTGCAATCAGCCATTTCTCGGTGGAGCCCTGCTTTCTCCTAGTGGCATGTTATTAGAAATCAAGATTTGGATACTAAGTGTGCTCGCAGCTACTGGAGTGTCTTTTATCATTGCTATGGGGGGGTTATAGGCAGACAGAGTTAGGAAATATATGCATATAAATATACATATATATGCATATATACATATACATGTGTATTCATACAAGCACATGCACATGTTTTTAGAAATCATGAGTTTACAACAATACTTCCCATTCTAACCATTCTCCTAGAGTTCTTTCTGCCTTCCTTTAATCCACACATGTATGTGCTTTCTTCTAGAGTGAGAATCCTGGCTCCCAACATCATCATCTCGTGTACTCTTTTGCACAATCCTATAATATATCTGCACTAGTTTCAGAGTTGTTTGTACTCACCACTACACAAAATGCCTACTAAAAACAAACAAACAAAAAAAGAGTTCAGATTTGTTTGCAATTCTCTCTCCTAAACCAAGACCGAGTATGTATAATCAAATTCTGTGTTCATAAATCTTTTGGATTAGCTTTTTTTTTTTTACGTTCCCTTCAGTTTAGTTATGGTAGTCACCTAAATACAATTAGGTTCATTTGTTTCCAATTTTAGGCTCCTCTCTCTCATCCTTGTTAATTTAATTTTTAAAATATGTAGGACATTACCATACTTCCAAAAGTCAAAACAACACACACGCACAAAATATTAACTTAGAGAAGTGTCATTCCTTCCTTTGTTGTATCCCTTGTACCCCAATTCTTTGCATGCCTTGTAGGAAACGGCTCCATCATTTTTGGATTTGTCTCGCCTATATTTCTTTATGTAAAGATAACCCGATACACATATGTTTTCTTATCTCCTCTTTTCTTTCTTTCATATAAGTAGCATACTACATGTGTACTTTAAGGCATCTTATTTCTTGATGTTTATAAGTAGGTGGTGGATAGAGAAGAAGAAGAAAGAGTAGAGGGGCAGAGGTGGGAGACTGAACTTAAGATCGCTATTCCCCAATCTTTGATTATCATCTTTGCAGTTTACCACATCCTCATGCTATGTATGTAATTATTTACTTAACTTTGTTTTCTCTGTAATGATTCAGGTTTTGATCGTACGAAAAATGTAAGAGAACATTTTATATCACTATTATAAATGGGAAACCACTCTTGCTTTCCATAAATAGGAGATAACTTAAATA